CTATTCTGACATTCTTGGACCTCAAGAAATTAGATTGGCCGTCAGTACTTCAGGATTGATCAATATTCAGATATATCCCATAGTTTGTGAACTCTATAACTTTCCTAAAATCTAAATAATACATCCTAATTTGGATTATTTTCACCAAAGAAATGTAGCAGAATACATCTTGCCCTAAATTTATGAAGAACAATCATTTATTTGCAAATTTTTATAACAGAAACAAAGAAAAACGTGTTTTTTTTTCTTCATAACTTTTAGTCTTTTTTTGTTAATTTACCAAAAAATAAAACCCCCAGTGTTGATTAAATACCACCAAAAGAAAGCTCTAGTTGTGTGAAGAAAATGATAAAATTTTAGTTTGGGTACAATGTTGGATGACCGTGCAATTGTCATTCAAAGTGTGAGAGCGCTGAAACCTAGAAATGGCCTGGGCAGGAAGGGGGTAAAAGTGCCCTGTATGGAAGTGGTTAAGAGGTACCTCTCAGGGGACATTGCACCATATCCTAGCCATTCTTCTAGAGCAGGGGTGGGCAAACTTTTTGACTTGAGGGCCGCAATGGGTTCATATATTGGACCCGGGGGCCGGACCAAGAGTAGATGAATGATGTGTATGTGTCATCCATAGTAAGTATAGTAATATTCCCCCATAGTAAGCATAGTAATTATTCCCCCATATAGTAATTCATCCCCCATAGTAATTCACCCCCCATATAGTAATTCACCCCCATATAGTAATTCATCCCCCATAGTAATTCATCCCCCATATAGTAATTCATCCCCCATAGTAATTCATCCCCCATATAGTAATTCATCCCCCATATAGTAATTCATCCCCCATATAGTAATTTATCCCCCCTATAGTAATTCATCCCCCCTATAGTAATTCATTCCCCATATTAATTCATCCCCCATATTAAGTCCCCCCTGTGTCAATTCACTTACCTTTGCTCCACGCGTTCCTCCCGCCGTGTTCTCGCGCCGTTCCGGTGTAGCATGAAAATCTGTCTCCTATGAGGATCTGTCCCCCTCAACGTATCTGCGCATGTGCCAGTTTCAGGCATTAGCAGCCAATCGGCGATCTCCGGCACATGCGCAGATACGTCGAGGGGGACAGATCCTCATAGGAGACAGATTTTCATTATACACCGGTCTTCAGGGCGGACTGTGAGAGGAGCCTAGCGGGAGCCTAGCTCCGCGGGCCGGATTAAAAGGTCCGCCGGGCCGTATATGGCCCGCGGGCCGTAGTTTGCCCATTGCTGTTCTAGAGTGTACTATAAACCAGTTATAGTATTCTTATCCACAATGCAGTTATTGCTTATGTGTACTGTTTATTGCTGACCTAGTTGACTAATGCATTGATTTCAGTCTAGTGGTGCAGAACTCAATTCTCTGTTAGTTTGGCTTAGTGATTTTACTGTTTGAATCCACCCTCTGTTTGCTCATTTATGTTTATACCACCATTTACTCTAACCTGTACCAACACATCAAGTTCATTTACCAATAAACGGTCTTATGTCTTGTTCCTGGTACTAATTTACAGCCCAGTTAAAGGTATCTATATTTTTTTTGTTATAAATGCTTGCAGAATTTTCATCCAACCAGGTGTGTCAGAGGGGCTGAGGTTAAGAACAGAGTCGAGGCAAAGTACAGAAAACCCAATCAACCAAATGGCTCCTGTGGAGGGTGCCATTACACTATACTTAAAGACTATGTACTGTATAAATATGTGGGCCAGTTTTTAAGATCTAGGAATATGTTGTACTCTGTAAAATACATAAATATTGTATGTGTAGCTTCTAAGTTGGCTACATGCTTATACTGCTTTTTTGATCCGAGTATAAAATAGTGTGAGGGAACAGGGTAATAGAGTAAACACTACTTATTTTCCCCATGCTTCACATGATATAATTTGGATGTTTTATGTTTAGATTAAATATTTTAGTGTTATAATTATACTATTAACAGGGATACATACTTGCGTAACTACATTATGGTTTGCCTTTCCAGCATCCTGCTTGCCCCAAATCTTGGGGTCTGTAACATGCAAGTTTCTACATTTTCCGATGTTTGCTATGAGCCTTCCTACCACCTCCTGTATATTCCAGGGGTTCCAATAATATGATGACCAAAAGTAATATGAAGAAGGCTTAGAGAGCCATGGACAATGCAAGGAAGTATCAAACGTGCTCTACCACCTTTAACACTACACAGACATGTGATATTTATTTCAGTTCAGTTTTTGTACTGACACATATAAATTTAAGAACCTATTTAGACACCACCTCACATTTCTGGTCTTTATATTTATTGTTTGCTGGTTTTCATAAAGTGCTGAAATTATTTTGAGTCTGTACGTAGACCCAGAGTATTTTGCCTCTCATATTGCATGTCGTTTCAGCAGTAATGCAGCAGTGCTTATTTTTTACCTGACCTGGTGTCCGGAAGGACTTGATTCAGAACTAGAATTCAGGTTAATGGTTCTGGTGTTTTCAGCATTAGAGGCCACCCTTTGGGTGGTGGAATTCATTAACCACATTCCGCCCAGCGCATGTATAAATAGGGCGGCACGGGCAGGCAAAACCACGTTTTAAAACCTATGTTTTGTAAACAGGTAGGGGGCGTGCGGCCGCCCTACCTGTCCCGCCGATCACAGCCGCGGATGTCAGTCGCCGGGTCACAGCCGGTCCTTACCGGCTATCTCCCGGCGATCGGCGGCAATCAGTGACAGAGAGCACAGCTGCAGTAGCTGTGCTTTCTGTCACTTCCCTGACAGCTCGAGGACAAGCTGATCGGGACAGAAGAGTTTCTCTCTCCCGATCAGCCTGTCCCCATCCAGCACACCCCCCCCCGCCCCCTAGTAAAACACTCCCCCTCACACAGATAACCCTTCCCTGAAAAATAAAGTTAACCCCTTCCTCCCCAGTGCCATTAGTACAGTGTCAGTGTTTTTTTTTTTTGCACTGATCACTGTATTGGCCAGTACCCCCCAATGTCAGAATGTCCGCCGCAGTCCCGCAGTCCCGCCATAAGTCACTGATCACCGCCATAAGTCACTGATCGCCGCCATAAGTCGCTGATCGCCGCCATTATTAGTATAGAAAAAAAAAACTAAAAATCCCAGTATCTTTCCCGCCATTTGTAAACGCTATAACTTTCACGTAAACCAATTAATTTACACGTATTGGGTTTTTTTTTTAGCAGACATGTCGCAGAATGCATTTTGGCAGAAATTTATGACTAAATTTGATTTTTTAATTTTTTTTTACTAGACATGTTTTATAACAAAAAGTCCAAAATATTGTTTTTTTTTCCTCAAAATTGTCAGCCTTTTTTTTATAGCACGAAAAATAAAAACCGCACAGGCGATCAAATACCACCGAAAGAAAGCTCAATTTGTGGGAAAAAAAAGGATGTAAATTTCATTTATGTACCGTATTGCATGACTGCGCAATTGTGCGTTAAACTAGCGCAGCGCTGTATAGCAAACAAATGGCGTAAATTGTAGTATCTATACCATAGTTTCTAGACACTATAACTTTCACACAAAGCAATCAATATACACTTATTGGGATTTTTTTTTACCAAAAACATGTAGCAGAATACATTTTGGCCTAAATTTATATCCAACTTTGAGTTTACTATATATTTTTTATAGCGGAAAGTAAAAAATATTGTTTTTCCTCAAAAGTTTTGGCTTTTTGTTTATAGCGTGAAAAATAAAAAGCGCACAGGTGATCAAATACCACTGTCAGAAAGCTCTATTTGTGTGAAAAAAGGACGTAAATTTTGTTTGGGTGCAGCATTGCATGACCGCGCAATTATCAGTTGAATTAGTGCAGCGCCGAGTAGCAAAAAGAGGCCTGGTCATTAAGGGGGGTAAATCCTCAGGAGGTCAAGTGATTAATGCATACATGCAAGAGTCATCTTCCCAATGACTTTGTGTATATGTGTCCCAGATGGTGTGCACGGTTTTTAGTTGCTACTTTGATCTGTTCTAACCTCTGAGCTCAGAAGTCCATAGACTTTCCTTTGCCTCTTTCGGTGTACATTAGGATGCTCAGCTTTCCACAAAATGGGCAATGCATGCTGCTGCATAGATTGATGTAGCTCTTCTTAGTTTGACCTGCATCTTTCCCTTATGTGATGTCACTTCTCTCTGCTTCAAATCTTTCCCACTAGCTAGAGGCAATGAGACAAATAAATGTTAGGCAGATTGGTGGGTAGCAGTCTAAAATGAGCCAACATTTAATACCTGGTATTTTCTGGGCTGTATGTGGCCCTTTCACTCCTCTGCAATTTCCACCTCCAAACCACCTGAGTGGTTTAAGGATAACAAGCCCTTATATAATTTTACAGCTAATATTTTATGAGTTATGCCCCATATTTTGGGATTAAACAAGGTAAATTGCTGTTTTACTAAAACCACAGTAAATATCATGTGGCCTCCTTGAAGATGTAACTGTCAGTGAAGGTTCTCATTTATCCAGGTTGTGGCATATCAAGTATGAGTAAGTCACATATAACTAGACTTGTTCTGTAATGTTAAAGATGCTTGTCCAAGCCACTTCCTCATTTCTAATGAGTGTCAGCAACATACCTTAACAATTATATTGAAACAAGTAGATGAAAAAACTGATTCAATTAACTTGGAATGGCAGATGTTAATGTCTAAGGATAAGATGGGCGATACGAAAATTGTGGAACCACCCTGTACTAATTACATAATCCCTTCTTGGTGTCAGGAAGGCTTCTTAAATGTTAATCTTACAATTTACATGGCTGAAGGTGTGAATTGTTGTAAAAAACACCAATGTAGAGAATTTAAAATAGCATTATATATGAAGACAGATGGTGTTGAAGGCCCCCACACCTGTTCAATGATGATATGTATAAATATGCCAACAACGCAATTAAATCAATCTTGTGTTCTCCAATCAACAAAAATATAATAATGAAGCTGCTTCAACTTTAAAGTGTTACTAAACCTAGGACCCTGCATTCACTATATCTGGTCTTCCACAGTACACAGAACATGGAAATGCAATTATTTTAGTAAATTTAAACTGCTAAATACCTTTTTCCATCAGCAGTTAGAGCAGTCTTGTGACTTCTATCAGTGTTCAGCAGAGCACTGGTTAAAGCTTATAGGAGGAGTCTTCTTTCTGCTCTAGGAGGATGCATGACCCCTGACCTCTATTTGGACAGTGCTGATTGCCCCTTTGCTGATCACATGCACTCCCCCCCAAAAAAAAAATCCTCTCTAGCAATACACACTAAACTGAGCATCTGCAGAATGTCTCCACACAATATGTCTTATCAGGAGATAAGAGGGGAGCACTGAAGAAGGGGAGGATCAGAGAAGTCAGGATCAAACAGCAGTTTTATACAATGCAGAGGATTATCCCCTTAGGCTCCACAGTGAGTTCAACCAGCATGCTTTACTGCATATACAGACTGATTTTACTACTGTGGGTTTAGTAACACTTTAACACATTCTCTTATATAGGTGCTCATAACATATCCTCCAAAAGGTGTAGTATGTACTAGATACATAGTGTGTATGTGTATATATATATATATATATATATATATATATCTTGCCAAAAGAATTGGGACACCCCTCCAAATCATTGGATTTAGGTGTGCTCCACGGCCACATGGGTATATAATCAAACACCTAGGCACGCAGACTGCTTCTACAAACATTTGTGAAAGAATGGGTCGCTCTCAGGAGCTCAGTGAAATCGAGCAGGGTACCATGATAGGTTGCCACCTGTGCAATAAGTCCATCCATGAAATTTCCTTGCTACTAAATATTCCACGGTCAACTGTTAGTGGTATTATAACAAAGTGAAAGAAACTGGGAACAACAGCCAGGAAGTGGTTGGCAATATAAAATGACAGAGCATGCTGAAGCTCCCAGTGTGCAGTCACCAACTGTCTGCAGAGTCAATAGCTAAAGACCTCTAAACTTCATGTGGCCTTCAGATTAGCACAAAAACAGTGCGTAGAGAGCTTTTTGGAATGGGTTTTCATGGCCGAGCAGCTGCATCCAAGCCTTACATCACCAAATGCAATGCAAAGCGTCATATGCAGTGATGTAAAGCACGTCGCCACTGGACTCAAGAGCAGTGAAGATGTGTTCTCTGGAGTGACGAATAGCAACTTCTCTGTTTAGCAATCTGATGGACGTGTCTGGGTTTGGCGATTGCCAGGAGAACGGTACTTGCCTAACTGCATTGTGCCAAGTGTAAAGTTTGGTGGAGAAGGGATTATGGTGTGGGGTTGTTTTCTCAGGGGTTAGGCTTGGCTCCTTGGTTCCAATGAAGGGAGCTCTTAAGGCATCAGCATATCAAGACATTTTGGACAATTTCATGCTCCCAACTTTGTGGGGAACATTTTGGAGATGGCCCCTTCCTGTTCCAACATAACTGCGCACCAGTGCACAAAGCAAGGTCCATAAAGACATGGATGAGTGGGTTTGGGGTGGAGGAACTTGACTTGCCTGCACAAAGTTCTGACCTCAAATCCGATCCGATAGAACACCTTAGGGATGAATTAGAGTGGAGACTGCGAGCCAGGTCTTTCTTGTCCAACATCAGTGTCTGACCTCACAAGTGTGCTTCTGGAAGAATGGTCAAACATTCCGATAGACAGACTCCTAAACCTTGTGGACAGCCCTTTCAGAAAAGTTGAAGCTATTATAGCTGCAAAGAGTGGACCAACTCAATATTGAATCCTACAGACTAAGACTGGGATGCCATTACAGTTCACGTGCATGTAAAGGCAGACGTCCCAATACGTTTAGCAATTTAATGTAATTTTAGCTGCTTTTCATGCCACTCTTTGACATTGGGGTTTTAGTCCTATGGGTTAGGATGTTAAAGTCCATCGATAGCCAAAGCCTTTTAATTTTTTAAAGAAAGGGTTCAACCCGTCAGGTTTAACTGCTATCCAGGGCTCTAGAGAGATTTATCTTTTGGAGATGACCTTTTACCAGTCAGGAAGTGAGGTTAAAATTCGCTACATGGTGAGGGACACCAATAAAAAGCTGGGGGGGGGATTTCTAGCATCTACTTAAGTTAAAATCAGAAAAATGTTTCACTCCCTGCGTGGTGAAAAGGTTGTCCTTGGTAGTGATGAGTTTGGGTATGTTCAGACTAGGATCCGAACCCACATGTGCAAGTCCACCAGGAAGCTGTCTGTCACATCTGTATGGGCTAATCATTTTGGGCATTCCCCCTCCTCATAGCCATACGTATAGAAGAGGCATGTATATGTGCGTCTGCGGGTCTGGGAATACTCAGGCCGCAGATGACTGTCTGAGATGAGCCTCCTGACAGGCTTGCGCACATTAGTTCGGTTCCTAGTCAGAATGTGCCCAAGCTCATCTCTGGACCCTAGGAGAGTGACTAAGGAAAAATGTCTCAACAGAAAACCTGACAAGAGTTCCACTCCTTCTCCACTCTGTCCAAAACGTAAAAAAAAAAGTTTGGGTGTTTGGTACACTTTGACCATATCCCTGAAATTTAAATAATCACAGCTGCACCAGATTTTTCACTCTCTAGTTTTAGCCCTGGTTCACACCGGTGTGACTTGTCATGTGATTTGACAGTTTCAAATCACATGAAATGTTGCACACTATTGTCAGCAATTGAACTGTTCAAATCAGTGTTACTCCGACTTCGTCGCTATTTTTTGCAATTTCAGGTGCGAGTTAGATAGGCATAGATATCTGTGCATGAAGCTGCACAAATGTCTGCCAAGTCGCACCTGAAGGTCATACTGACATGCGACTTTGAAATTGTGCGACTTCGAGTGAAGTCGCACGATTTCAAAGTTGGAGCCTGTGTGAACCAGGGCTTAGCAAATCCACCCCAATATGTTAATACCATTGTGTACTGTTGAGTTCAGGCCCTTGAAATTTTATGATTGGCTGTTTTGGAATTTTTGGATTGATCATGATCTACCAAAGTGAAGTTTTGAATACTTTGCATACATGTGACCGCGCCTGTCTTTTAACATAGGAACTCATTGCTGGATAGAAATGGAATAAGAGGGGACTTTAATTAAAAGGACATGCAAACCATTGTATGTTTGGAAATATAATCAGATTTGCTTCTTGTATTTCTTTCCTGTGCCCTTGGTGTTTCATGGCTGTCCTGCTTAAACACTGAAGCAATTAGTTTTGAGAAGGCTGATTCTTCAGGGTCCAGTGCTTCCATGCCTTTCATTTGCAAAAGCCGCACATTTTAATGAAGTTGTTTCATCTGTGTTGCCAAACACTAGAATTTTGCTGCTTCAGTTCTAATTATCTCAGTTGGCGATTGCTGTGTTTTATTAAAGCTGTCAAACGTACTGTTCATTAAATGCCCACGTTTGCGACATCTCTCCCACAAATAATATCAACTTGTTCTTTTGATGGATTGAAGGAACGTATTTCCTCCTTAATCCCAGCAAAATGGATTTACCAATCATAATAAATTCTAAAGTTACCGTGGACCCCATGTAAGGAGAGCACTGAATTAAAACAAAAACACAAAAGAAGTTTCTTTTAGATAAATTCACGGCGTAAACACTCATTAATCTATATAGATTTTTATATTTTAATGTTCAGACTGTGAAAAAGAAAGTTCTACTGCCTAATGTATTGAATATGGCTAATATTTTGCTATTGTGAAATATTTTTATTGCAAAATAAAACCCCTTCAAAATTAACAATCTGAAATTTAGCCATGGGTCCTCTCTTCTTTTTATAAATAAGAGCCAAGATTAAGGTTCTTCTAATAGTTCAGTTCACCTAAAGTGATTTCAGTGATAAGCCATCTGATTTTTTTTAATATCTCTTGGTGAGATATATGCCTCTTTAGTTCTAATGTCTATGCACTTCCTAGGACCATCATGTGGAGGTTGCACTTTTAGTGTTAAGTCTTTCATTCCATATTATGAAGATAGTAACAGATGGGTTGGAGCATGCAAAAGTGAGCAGGAACACACATAACACCCAAGCGGACAGGAGCCAGGGGATGACATGCCCCTCCAAGCTCTGCCTATGCTTAAAATAACATGTACAGTTGCATAGGCATTTGTTTTGTCATCACTCCTTCTGTACCATCACATAAAGATCCTAAAACATGTATTTTATTGCTCACATTTACTACAATCTATTCTTAAAGAAATACATTTTATGCTGATTTATCTTTATTTACGGTAATCTGCAAAGAACATACTAAATACCCAGCAGTTTTTTAACAGATCCAGTGAATATTTAAATGCCTGGTGCTCATATCATTCAAGAGATCATTCAGACAGTTGCAGTTGTGTTAATGTGTATTGTGTTAAAGCACCTCTTTGATTTTAAAGGGGCTGCTAACAAACTGCAACGCACATTTTAACAAACAGATAACATTTGTACAGTGCTGCTCAGCACAACCTACAGATGACACAGAAGTTGTGGTGTGCTAAAAAGCAAGTTCTTTGTGTTTCGCTGCCTTCAGAATTTGGGGTGCTTTTCAAAATGGGCTGCACTATTTGTTTGTGTCACTGCACAGTACAAAAGGTCATTGGCAACTAAAAATCCTTAAATGTGCTTCCATCCATCAATACAATCCACGTGCGCCACTGTCTTCAAATTATAAGTCACCTGTGTCTGGCATGCAGTCACCTCCCATGAACAGTATATGCTTACCTCCAATATTGACCAGGATTGCAAGTCAAGGGTCAAATGCGCTTTTGCCCCTTTTAGGCCACAAACCATATGGCTCCCAGAACAATTCCTTGTCTCCTCCACTCTCCTCTGATGTGAATATTCACTCATGCAAAAATAATAGGGACTAATAGCTCTCTCTGTACATTTAAAAGCATTTAATCATATCTTTAAAATGACATGCACAAAAAAGTGCACACAGAGTGCTATATACAGTGCATAACAAAATGTAGGCAGCTCCCTCCTCACCACTAACTCTGCCAACCTCAAGATGGCAGTCGAATGGCATAACCAGGGGCGGACTGACCATTTGGAAACTCGGGCACTGCTCGAGGGCCCGGGGTCAGTAGGGGTCCCCATGAGATGCCCCTGGTACCTTTTTCATAGGCTTTTTTGAGTTTGGGCAAGGGCCCCATGATCCCTTATTGCCCAGGGGCCCCATGAGTTGTCAGTCTGCCCCTGGACATAACTGACATAGCCACGCCCCTATATGAGTTATGCCTGATTAACAGGCTTCCTCAATAGGGAGAAATGTGATATTTCAGTTTTTCCATTTTTAATACATTTGCAAACATTTCTAAAATTCTGTTTTCACTTTGTTATTCTGGGATACTGAGTGTAGATGTGATTTTTTTTTCTCTTTAAACTGCAGTATTAGGCTGCGACATAGCAAAATTGAAAATAGTGAAGGGGGTCTGAATACTTTTTGAATGCACGGTAATATATTTATATATATATAAAGAGAGAGAGAGAGAGAGATGTAGAGATATATATATATATATATATATATATATATATATGGGCAGCACAGTGGCTAAATGGTTAGCACTTCCGCCTGCTAGTACTAAAGTTGTTGGTTTGAATCCCAACCACGACACCACCTGCCTGGAGTTTGCATGTTCTCCCTGTGCCTGCGTAGGTTCCCTCCGGGAACTCCGGCTTCCTCCCACACTCCAAAGACATGCTGGTAGGTGAATTGACTCCTGTTTAAATTGGCTCTAGTATGTGTATGTATGAATGTAAGTTAGGGACCCTAGATTGTACGCCCCCTGAGGGTTAGGAACTGATGTGAATATACAACATATATGTAAAAGTGCTGCGTAAATCGATGGCGCTATATAAGTATCTGTAGTAAATAATAAATAAATAAATAAATATATATATATATATAGTGAGTTGGGGCAAGTACAAAGCAGCTCCCTTGGCTGAGCACAGTTTCAGGCACAGATACCAATCCAGTGATGTATTTA